CGGAATTCAAAGGTCAGCAGCCGCTGGCGTAACAGGTACGATGAGATCCTGTCCGAAGGATGTTTTGAACGGCCTTTTTGACCTATTATGCATAGATATCTTTATCTAAAACTCAGCTGCTAACAGCGCCATCAGACTGCGTGCCCTGAGTTTCTGGAAGGAAAGACCGTTCGGGCACGGCTCCATCCTAGACGCACTACCTCTCCCCCTCTCTGAAATCAAAGCGCTGCATACTGTCCAAGACCTCGGTTCACAAACCCCGTACGTAACTCGCAAGGCGCAGTGACTAGAATCAAGGGAAGGTCGAGTTCTTGCATTGCTTAACCGTCTTTACGAATGGGTCAAAGATGGAATGCAGAGTTGGTTTTATCTAACCTAACCTATCCTTTCGTCTACCAGACTATGAAAGTGTTTTCCAACCCGAAACGTTTACTAATTGTAGGAGGTAGTAAGGTACATCAAAGAGAATGTATTCGCGGGGACGCATGTGAATATCTTCTCGGATAGCCAAGCGGCCATTTACGTACCCTCTTCCACCTCTGTTAGATCTCAATAGTGGATGACTGTAGGAGAGATCTGGCCTATATTTCTGATCAATACGAAATATCTTAATATGGGTCCAGCGACATAGGGACATTGACGGAAACGAGGCAGCTCTGTACACAAACTTCAGCTGCGTCCGCTTGCGTCCCTCTTGTTCATATTCCATAGACTGAACATTACACAGTGACTGGTCGCTATAAGTATTATCTGGGGTAAAAAGTAGTAATCGTCATCCGTTTTTACTTAGATTTGTCTGCAATTTTTTTTTTACGAATAACGAATATAAAAATGATATAAATACTAGCATATTGGCGACCTTTCACGCTGACTATGTTAGGGAAGATACTTATGTATAATAAGAAATACATATGTTAGATATTATCAGGCTTTTATATTGAGTTTTGTATAAGTGGTGAGCGTGGCAGGCGGCCGATTTGGACCATATTTCAGATACAAATTTTTCTGATTAAAACTAAGCTACCAACCGAATTTCAGTAAAATCGGATAACATTTACCATTTGCACCACCAAGAGACAGTTATCCAATCAATGCTGTTTTCAGATTTCTTTATCGACGCTGTCCTTTATGCACTCTCATCTTTAAAATTTCCGTTTTTTTCGGTTCGCCGCATCTTTCTTTTTTCTATATTTGAATTTTTATCTGTACTAATAGAACACATAACTATTCCTTAATATGCAATTGACAATTTGATGCCATAAAGCTTAGGTTTCTAATATTAAATTTGATACACTGTAAAATTTCTTTCAATAACGTGAAGAGCAAATAGTTTGCGAACTGTGGTATCTTGGACTCAAAGGATTTCTTTTAATTTTGTTTATTTTTGTCGGAAATAACACAAGTTTAGGGCCGGCTGTAGTGCAGCCTGGTTAAATGCGATCCAGCTGTGGAGAGACCTCAGATTCGGACACGGAAAGGTCCTTGAAACTCTACCGGATAACCTACGACTAATAGATTATACCCCGCATCTATTCTATTTGGACAGCAATTTCTCCGTAAAAATCCCAGGAGGATAAATTTTTGATTTTTTGACAGTCAACAGTGGAATTTTGACAATAGCATCGGAAATGTAACTAGAGATTTTTGGCGATCAAAATTAGCAATAGCAAATGTTTGAATNAATAGTAACTAGAGATTTTTGGCGATCAAAATTAGCAATAGCAAATGTTTGAATCTGGTTGCAGGCTAAAAGTAAATCTCTAAAATCTAGGGGAATAACGTCAAAAGTAGCCATAGAGTGCAGAAGGATTCTCAACCTACTGGCATCAAAATGCTCCTTGACTGTTGTATGGATCCCCGGACGTAGAGACATTCATGTTGAACGCGTATTCGACGAGATGGTAAGGAGGGGACGGAAATATACGAAGACAATTCTGCTCAAGATTCGGCATACTTCTGGCCTCATGCAAACACAGATTAACGGCTGAACTCACAGATGAGATAAATACGAGGTTTGCTGCGATACTAGCAGGACAATTTAGCCAATAATTTTTGTAAAGCGGTGCACGGCTCCCACTGGGCTGGACCGCTCTTCTCTCAGATTAGTAGACGGGGTAATGACCGGACACATTTTTGCTGTAGCTGCAGAGACGAGGTAAGGGTGGAGATCATCGAAAATTATCTCTACCACTGTCCAGCCCTAGCTAATATGGGACACACCTTCTTAAGCAGATACTTTTTAGATTGTTTAGCCGACGTGAACTCGGTGAACATTCGCAATTGTATGTGCTATATAAAACGAACTGGTTCAAGAAGTAAGGAAGGGAAAGAAACAAATGGTTTTTGCCAGTGGTATCACAACGGGCTTTTCCAGCCAATGAGTGCATCCGTGCTCTGCGCACGACCGAGCCCTCTCTGCCGCCAGTGACTAGACACCCAGTAAATATTGTACAATTTTAAAGTCTGGGCTCGGTTTTGGGGTTCAGCCAGCTCTCATTCTCGGGGAACTCGGCAAGGAATGAAGTATCTTGACAGCAAAGGTGGCGTACTCTCCTGTGGTATTAAAAAGACATTCAAGTCCAAATCTCTGCCTCCAGCAAATTTTCGCCTCACTGCCGACTGTATAATACCAGGACCCATTTATTTTAAGACTACAGGTGTCTTAAGGGTCTACTCCTGGATAAAAATATTAAGTTATGGAAGGTTTAGCAGAGCATCCAGAGAAGCCTTATATATTCTAGGCAAAACACACTGTGATCGTTCCTTGAAGTTTGGCAGGAAGATTTTCCACGTTCTTGTTTGAGAGTCTTTATTGGTTCAACAAAGGTGGGTAGGTACTATGGCCAATGGTAAAGTTCGTTTACCCCCTCTGCATGCTTGTAAGCCATGCAGAGTCCTCAAAATGCTCCGGAAGCAGTGTCCGAGGATGCATCAGACGAGGCCAAGCATACTTTCAAGTGTCATCTAATTAAAACTTAAGAAAGTGCAATTACATGGCAGTTGAGAATTTCATAAATTGCATTTAAGCGCCCGATGTTAGCAGTCACGCCTAAACAGACCCATTTAAATATTTTTAGCTGCCTTTTTTCTGTGTGTAGGATTACACCTAAATTCTTTATTGCGGACGACATCTCTATAAATTATAGACTATAATTACTTATTTAATCGCATCTTCTTCTTCTTGTTCTTGTTGGGTTAGCGTACAGCTCAATCTCACTACACCAAATTTCAATTATATTCAGTGTTATTTCCGCTTTGCTGCAAACAAATGACAGAGATTGGCCTGTGATTAGGTAAACCACATCATCTGCATTGGCCTGGTCGTAGATATTACAGCCGCAAAGTTTGGCTAGGAGTGAATCAATTACCAAGCACCAGAACAAGGGAGAATGCACACGGCCCTGAAGACAGCCCCCATGAATTCCGCACGTCACATAGTGACCGCCTTATGCCTGAATCCTAATTATACACTGCGCGAGCTTTGAATGAATCCAATTTACCACCACAGAATTAACTCCATGCCTTAGAGCCTAGTCGCACATGCTATCGAAGGTGGCATTCCGAAAAGTACCCTCAATGTCTACAAAAATGTCCAAGGCGAATTTTTTCTTAGTGATGCCATTGCTAGTTCTGACAACCACATTTTGCAAGCAAGACGGTCATCATTCTATTGGGCCTGAGATTTTTAGGGCTGGTATAGTCGTCGGTTCCAACTTAAGGGATAAGGGCGACATATAAATAAATAGTATCGTCTAAGCGACACAGCAAACTATTTTTCAAGATCGCCACCAAAAGCTCACCACCTTCTTTGAGTATAATAAGTAGGATACCATCCGGACCGGGCGATTTAAAGCAGCCGAAAGATTCAATAGCTTATCTTATGGTATCTTCACTCGCCACAGTTCTGGCAAAAGACCATTTGGTCGTTTAAAGTACAAAACCGCGTATCGTCATTCTGCAAAACCGCGTAACTGACATTGGCTGCCAAAAATTGGGATTGCTCACACAAGCTCTTGGCTCAATCCTTATCCATTCGTCCTGAAATATATTAGCCAGAAATGCGATTGCTTTATAAAAAAGACAACCGTTTTGAAATATTAGCGTTTTTATGCTCTAGAAAGTAATTTCTACAACTTCATATACGCGGTTTTGCATTTTGCTGATACGCGGTTTTGCTCTTTAAACGACGATTTGTATCTTTAAACATTGGTTCTCTTAGTCCCACATTCTCCCTGTCTATTCCCCTATGTATCCACTAACTGATTGCCGAGGAAATGTGCCTCCAAAGCAGCTGAAATGGTCTCATTTAGTCTCCGTGAAGGAGCAATCAGGGCTCCTGAGTGAACCCAGCTTAGTGTTTGGTATTTTTAAGGACTTTTACCAGCCTAGCTGTTTACTTAAGGTATCAATACCCTGAAGTATCCTTTGAACGCTGACCTTTTCGAAAAACGAATTACGTTCTTGCACTCCCTTTTGGGTGGTAGTGTTCCCAGTCCATCTCAGTATTGGTTTGGAGGGTCCGGTTTAAAAGTTTCCTCGAATCACTTCTCAACTTCTAAAGCTCAAAGGATGATCCATACTATTTTTAATTCAATTTTTTTACCGTATTTTTGAGCAGTTAAATTTTTTATTAATCGCTTAGAAAGCTTTTGGTAGTTTGGTAGCTTTTAGTGCCGACTTAAGGAAACCATTGGTCCGCTTTTATTTCTTCGAGTTCAAGTTGACAGTCGACAAGCCCTTTAAATTGGGAATGATTAATTCAGCAGTTGTTTGCTTGAATTACTTTTTGTTAATTTTTAACTGATTAAATTTTGTTAGTACTTAGATAAATATTTTTACGGGATTCACTTTTTGCATTAAAGTCAACCAATGTATAAATTTAAAAAAAAATGCGCATATGCTATACATTGCAGAATTAGCTAAGCCCTTGCGAACACAACACAGTTAGCAGTTTTTTTTTATATTAAACAATTTCTTTTGACCCTTAATCACGAACTTACAAAGCTTGGCTGTGGCACAGGATATCAAAAAAATAACGAAAATACTTTGCAACACAAAATTTAACTTAGACGAATACATCCTTTCGATAAACAAAAAACAAAATAACAAAAAGACTGTTTGCACACGCAGCCTCCGATTCGACTAAAGATAAATAAATATAGTTTTAATTTGCGTTGGAGTAACTTTTATACTGACAGTGAATCTCTCAGACGCTGCCTTGGCTATAATTGTCGCGTAATCATTGAAATACCATTTGATGCTAATCGTGGCAATTAATTATAAAAAAAAAGAATTTATTTATCGATTGCAGAGTGGGCCGGTCCAAAAACAACAACAAACGTCAACTGTCTACTTGGGTGGTGCTAAACTGCAGTGTGGTATGCAGCGCCGAGTCATACATACTCACGGGCTACAGAGAAAATTGTATTTACATATGTAAATATATACATTCCCATGTCTGTACGTTATTGGAATGCGGGGGTAATGTTTTCCCTAACACACTTAATGCCTTGTCACCGGCCACCTGCCAACGCTGTTGATTAATTGCAATAAATTTAATATTTTTTTATCTTGGAAAATTAATAAACGAATTATAATATTTCTCCAACTAATTTTCTTCTAACACTTTCTAAGGTGACAAGTGCTTACATGCACCGCATTTGTATAAATTTTCATATATAAAGAGAGTTGCCAATTAAAGCCATAAACAACTGACCTTTCGCACTTGCGCAACGCCGCACAGTGGTTCCAAACGCCAATCTAGCCGGAAATAAATCTTATCTCCCGTAATAATATGCCGAACGAAACCAAATTACTTAGGTATTAAGGGGTTTTCGATGGTGCTGATTCCAATCCCTTTATCAGATTTCTAGTGTTCCCATTATTAAAGTTAGAATTAGCGATAATAGAATTAGAGATGATTGAATAAGAAATAAAATATTTTTTCGCCCTAAAAACGATAATTACTAAAAAATTCCTCTTGAGGAAGCACTGTTTCAAGCCTAGTAGAAGTAAGAAGAAAAAAAAAGGCGGTCACTTTAATTCATTTTTCTACGTACATCCCACAAAAAAAACGAGAGTTCATTTTGAAGCAAAAAAAAAAACAACAGACTTCAATGTTATTAACAAATTTTGGAGAACCGTTAATTTCTTCATGACACAATGATCGAAAATAAACAAATTAGTATGGGATCTCAAAAGAGGCACCGATAAAAAAAGGATAATCACAACCCGTTAACGTGGTCCGAAGTTATCCCATAACTGTTATGGCATAACATATGTACATAAAAAAAATATTCACATGAACTGATAACATTCCTCCAGTTTTTGAAGGGGGTTTAAAAATAAACAAGGTCCAAAAGCCATAAAAATGAATGGTAACAAAAATTGATTTAAAAATTAATTAAATTTTCTACAGCTCTGGTTCTGATGAGCTATCATCAATATCGTCTTTATCTTCCTTGCTGCACAAATCGCTTCTTCGTTGATTTTAATTAACGCCAGAGCATCTGGGTGCATTTCTGTTGGCTTTGTTGTTTTGACTTATCGGCTGGTGATCTTCGGGTCTGATGACACAAGTAAATGAATCAGATCAGTTGTGGGGTCGGTCTTTGAAGTATTCAAAAACTTCTTTTCAAACCTTAAAGCCTTGTCCAATTTTGAATTTCAAGTTGAATAAAAATCTAAAGGCAAAAAATATTAATAAAAAAACGTGTGTACTATTTTTAGAATTTTTGTTTGTTTGTCCGTTTGTCTGTTTGAACTTAGTAATCTCCGGATATACTGAATGAATTTTCATGGGGCTTTGACTGGTGACAAGACAGTAACCTCGGACATAACATAGGGCAGTGCTCGCCAAAGTGGTGGTCCGCGGACCGGTGCCGGTCCGTAAGCCATAAGTCGCCGGTCCGCAAAGGGCGTCGCGAAATGGACAACGATTTTTTGATGTTTTATATTACTGTTTAATGAGGCTATATACAACTTGTATAATAAAAACAACTTAAATTTGTTAAACATTCATAAAAAATCGCTAATATCTGCTATCATTAAATGGTAATAGGTCATATATAGACACCCGGCTAATAAAGAAATTCATTTAAACAAATTTTAATACATATGTGAGATGATCGTAAACGAAAAATAATCAATAAAAAAAGGTACCGGTCCCCGACGTAATAGAAAAACTGCAGCCGGTCCGTCACACTCAAAAGTTTGACGAGCACTGACATAGGGTATACAAAAATGCGCTTTGCATATCCCATAGGTGTGAAATTTTTAATCAGCTATAACTTTGAAATCATAATTCATATCACTTTGAAATTTGGTGTGAAGATCTATGGAAAATGCATACAAATGAGTTTCCGGCAGATGGCGCTGGAGTCGAGATATTTAGATAATCCATCTTTATCCTACGACCTGAATTAACGGGTATTATGAGAACTGATTCTGCTAAAAATGGAGCCAAAGCATAGATTGCGCTGGAATCCAGGTATTAAGATACCCCTACGAGTTTACTTTTTAGATGTCTTAATAAAGGATGGTGTTAAGTATACATACAGAGAAGCGCAAAACTGTTTAATCGCTAGATATCCTAGCAACATCAACGCGTCAAGGGTGTATGTAGAAAAAGTTAGACGAAATAGAAAGAGCAAAACTATAATAAAATGCAAATGTGCTGATGAAACTTGGCTGGATCCTTTCAAGATATGTACTTAATCGAGAGAAACTGGTGCGAAGTAGAGTGGAACATAAAAAAGCCAAAGTCGGAATTTTAATGCCGCCACCCCCTAGGATTGTTCTATACTGAAAAAAGTATACCCCTATTTTTTATTTTGAAATCAAAAAATATTTAGGGAGTGCTCAAAGCGCTCAAAGTTTTCCATGTATTTTATATGGGGGAAAAACAACTTTTCGTCCAAATGGTAGAGAATTCTTGAAAATCAATATTTTTCGATCGGAAAACTCTGGTTCTCTTCAGGAGACTTCCAATATTAATAACCAATTGTTTATTTAACAATTTTTTAATACTAAAGATTTTGTATTGGTCCCCCATTGCATCTTCTGTGGGTTTTGGCGGACCTATAATATACAGTTACTATTAAAAATGGTTAAATAATTATTTGGGTATTATTATTGGGAATCTTCTGAAGAGAAACAGTTGTTTTCCCCGTAAATATTTTTTGATTACAATATATAAAAAAAAAATAGGTGTATGTATATATTTTTTTGGCGTTGAAAAATACTAGGGGGTGGCAGCATTAAAATTCCGACTTTACTTTTTCCCATGAATTTTTGGACCGCCCTAGTGCGAAGTCATACCTATGCGTGCCTTTTTTTTGTAGGTTTTTGATGTATAAAATTACGTGAAGTGTAAAGCTTAGTTATTGGCCTCCAGCTTCTGCTAAAAGCGGCCATACAGCAAAGTATTTAATGACTTTTTGAACGAGTAGATTATTAAATTAATTTCCCACCAGAATTGCATTTGGAACCACAGTGCGCCGCAAAAGTTAAACTTTAAAGTGTTTACATATAATCCAGTAAGTACCTGCTGGCGCGTGTAGAAACATTCATATATAAGGAAAAATGGTACTCAGTTACGATTCGTTTTGGTAAGTCTCTTAGCTTAACCCTTAAAATGAATGCATTGCCATATTAGACCTTCTCAGCTAAATATTTTCAAAGCTCATAGAAAGTAATAGATAATGTAGATAATGTCTAATCATAGGCTATTCCCTCTTAGTTGATTGTAGGAAAGCGCAAAAGGTCACCTGGTGTGATACTTGGTGAACTGAGAATGACCTGCTCGCCAACGCAACCAAATCTAGAAGGAGAGAGTTGGTCGGCCTTGTTCCCTCTCCAATTGAAGGAGCTACCATTGAGATCATTCCGAAATTACTCTTTAGGAGTAATACTAGTCACTGACTAGTAGTCAGTAAACTCGAATGGAAGTCTTACATTAAATAAAAGGCCCCAAAACTTTAACATAGTTGCGAAAATTTAAAAATTATGTTAGTCTACTCATTTGCTTTAGAACACAGGATCATGATCTTGAGTCAACATCGATGGTAGTAGGGTCATTCATCATTTTTGTGGTGGAATATGACTACGCGGTGGGAAAAAATTAAAAGTACACTTTAAAAAATTTGTGTTTTAATTTGCGCATATTAAGTTAGGTAACTAGTTTCCTCTCTTAATGAATGCAAATTTACACACCGTGTTAATTAAATTAAACACTGCTTGTTTACTTTTACTTATCATATGTGTGGCGTAGAACAATTTTCAAATTTGTTTTTTGAGTTCTAAACATTTATTGTTCTCAATTTCACAGTTTACACATAAAATGTTTAAAGTTTCCTCTAAAAAATTTTTGTTTAAATTTACGCATATAAAGGGAGGTAACCAGTTTCCTCTCCTAATGAGTGCAAAATTCAACACTGTCTGTTAACTTTTACATACCAAATTTGTCACGTAGAGTAAAATTACACAAAAAGAATTTAAAATGGAGTAAATTTGAGAACTTACAATTTTTTATTTGTAAAAAATATTTTGTTACTTTAAAAATTTTTTTAACTTTAAACATTTCATGTGTATATTTTAAACAACTCATGTTTATAATCAAATCTTGAACATCTTGTGCGTATATTTGCACAGATTCTGGTTGAAGAATAAACGCTTTACAGCAGTAGTTTTACATGCACTTTTTAGAGTGTAGTAGAAGGTATTGGCCAGCCCTTTAACTACTTCCAAACTAGTTCGGTAGTGCACTTCTCGACTAAACTATGGCGGTAAAGAGAACGAGCTTATTTTACTCTAGATGCCAGATCACGCGGGAGTATCCAGTAATGAAATATCTGACCATTTGCGAAGAAAGGGCTCGCACATTCAGAAGCTGGGTGAATATTTTGTTTAGCAACGAGAGGTCTACACAGGAGTTTTACTTTCATTGCTCAGATGAACATGCAGAAAACTTGCCAACCCCATTTGACTTTTCTGCCTCGGAGAGGATAAGACGACGTAACACTTTGTGTGCCACTGTCTCGCCTTAACTGGTTCTCACTATGTCATATTTTGGCGCCAAAATTTGGCGACATATTTTGACACAACTTTATCTCCTTTATCCATACCTTGACCGATGATATTATTAGCAAAAAAGAGATATATAGCCGATTTAGCATCCGGATCCCAACGGATCGATAACCCGATTTTAATCCCATTTACAATGTGTGTTTCACTTATTTGACGACAAATGCCACTAAATTTGACATAATGAAAATCAGCCTTTAGACAAAATGATGTATGAGGATTTTGGCAGCGATGTGCTGAGAGACGTATACCTGAGCTCTTTGACATCTAAAAGTTTGCTCGATTGAGTTTAATGATAACTACGATCCCAATAGGAAGTGCTGTTTATGCCGCAAGTGTCAAATTGTTGATATTTAATCAAAGGAGTTCCCAACGAGAGTTTAGCCAAGTTCGAACATTTGCTTTGCTACCGCCGGGGTTGAGCCAACGTGCCTCCCTTAGGCCTAAGTGTTCTCCATCCGAACCTTAATGCGGAAAACCACCACAATCTAACATATCCTAGGCTACATTGGAAGAAAAAGAAACGAAGCCGTAGTATTGTGGACTTAAGGACTTTTGTTATGCAATTAAGGTTTAGTGTTTTAACGTTTCCTATTTATAGCGGGTTAAATTAGAATGTGCATACATACGGTAATGGAAAAATAAATAGGTGGACGACACTTTAACAATTTTTGCCTTTTTTCTTTTTTATTTTATTTATTTAATTTTTATTATTTGTTTTTAAAAGTATAGCTCATTATCTAATTAAAATCACATAAATTCATATAAATCTGAGAAATTCAACTTTGTGCAAATTTGAATCTAAATTTTCAACATTTCAGTATGCGATTTCTTATCAACTTAAACAATTTATAAAAGCGGAATAAAAAGCTGAAAATTTAGAGGCACAGAATTTTTATTAACCCAAAGTTTAAAATATGAATTTATATGGCTTTTGTTAGATAAAAACTATACTTTTATAAAATAATAACAAGTATCTACTTAATAAATAAACAAAAGAAAAATAGGTAAAATTTGTTAAAATGTCGCGTAC